CCAAAGCCCTTTAGTTAATACTAAGTAAGACGAGTATACAAATTAACATAATGCTTCGAGATGTTCACATAACAATACTTAAATAATCCTAAATACAGTGGCATAATACTGGTATACTACTATTTTTGAAACAGTACTAAATGACTTAAATTTTTTTTTCTATGTTTAATGACTAACACATACTTCTTTACAATTTTGCTATTACATGGAATAAACTTAAAAATTTGCAGCGATTTATGTTCCGACATTAACTATAATTTAGTAAATTTGGTAATTAGAGGTAAATTTCAGGGACTAGAAAACCCGAATTTGTTTCAATCAACGTGGACGCATTGACGTCCGATGGTGGTCGCATGGAAAATTTAATTTATTATAATATATTCAAGTATTCAGTTTCTCTTAGCGGAATAAGTAATAATGTTTATTTAGGAAAAGTTTCTTCCTCCGTCCCGATACATTCACTTGCGCCTACCATATAAGTAGGAAAAGTTCACGGTCTAGTCATTACGTTCGTTTAATTGTATGTACATATGTATATACAAGGAAGAAAACATCGAAAAGCAGAATTGTGATTAGCTACAAACTTGATAATTTCTTTAACTTTCTCCGTCTAACGTAAATTTTTAATTTGTCTGTTACAGGTATGTATTCGTCAAGTGCACGTTATAACATCTTCTAAACGTAAGTCTTTATGGTTACAGTTACTTCGTAGTTTATTGTTCCGATAGTTATCGCTAGACTGCGGATCTTTGTGTAAAGTAGAAATTGTGATGATAATTGAAAATCAATGATAAATGAAATTGAACGATAATATTGTTCAATTGTTTAAAATGTTTTTGCTATTTTCCATTTGAATTACTCGTGTGTTTCGCAAATCCATAACATCCGCAGTCCAGTTATCACAAAGATTATAGACCTTGAACATGATCAAATAAATTACACAAATTAAGCAAATACGTACTGCAGGTGTGGAGAAAAATAATCTCGATGAAAAATAGTGTTATCCGACATATCGTTGTAGATTATTCCACGAATGAGATCAATACGACATACTTCCCTTAATTCTTGAAACAATAATACTGAACAAATTGTATTAAGACCTTTTAATTAATTGTTCTCGCATACAATGTTTCATTTAGATACATTTACGTGCGTGCTGTTAGAAGTCAACGTTATTACTAGACTTTTACAATTTAACATTTTGTCTGCCATTCCAGCATCGAAAGTTTCATCAAATTAAAATACTTTATTTCGTCAAATTAAAGCACTTTATTTCATCAAATTAAAATTGAAAAGTTAAATTGTACGACAACAATTGCGTTTTGCGGACCCTGATAAAATTAGAAAGTCACAATAATATAGCGTAAAAATTAGTAGTATTTTAAGTAATTAAAAGTATAAGTATTTATTTAAAAGTATAAGTATTTTAGTAAAATTAGTAGTATTTTACTTAATTCCATCACCCATATATGGGTGATCGGATAATCGTATGCAATCAAATTAACATGTTGGCTCGAGTTTCCGTCTCTGTGGGAAGCACATATTATTTAATTTCAAAATTAACTTCTACATTAATTTAAAAATTCTCATTTTACTATTAAGCACACGAATTTGGAAAATTAACTCATTTTTTGTTACCCATGTACAAACATCTGTTCTAGAACTATTACGCAGGATATTCCATAATTATGTTAACACCCGGGAAGGGGTGATTCCTGAGGTCATTTGAAGTAACTTTTTCCTCAGCGCAAATGCAATCCGCGGCCTCGTTTACGAGTTATTAATGAAAAATAGTGACCAATGAGAGGCGATCTCGGTTCGCGCGTGATGGTCGAGCCAACGAGGGGACGAAGTCCAGTTTCCCTCATTGGCTCGGTCGCCTCGCGACAGCTGGTCTCGCCTCTCATTGGTCACTGCTTTTCGTTAATAACTCGTAAAGGAAGCTGCGGATCGCATTTTCGCTAAGGAAAAAGTTACTTCAAATGACCTCAGGAACCCTCCATTTCCGGATTTCGAGACATTTTTGGAACACGCTATATTTATGTTTCTATTCCTGTCGTAACTTTCACATCGTCGTGAGTTCTAATAAGATGGTAATTTGATTCGTCGCCCCGGTGTCTAGCGCCATAGCGTCCGAATAATTCGGCGGCTATAAGGAAAAACGCCGCCAAGTCACGATCTCAAAAAATTCGAGTTAACGCGTCGATTGAACCAACGCACACAGGATTTGTGTATTTAAATTAACTGAAATATAGATAAACTCAAAAATAATTTCTCGGAAGTGAAAATATGCGACTCGCGGCGTTCCTCCTTCCAGCCGCAGAATGAATCCACATCGGGAGGTTTGTAAATGATAAAGCGCGGCGGAAACGGCCAGAAACGCGAACAAAGTGACTCGCGACTGAAAGGAAGCCAACGGAATAAATATTTCGCTGAGACGGGGCCGAAAGAATGTGTACGCTCGAAATATTCAGGTGTCGTCGAATCGTTACTCGGCGATTATTCGGCCGGCACGAGTTACTCCGCCGATTGCAGTATTCGTCGTGAATACTGCATCAGTTTAGTCCTGACGTAAGACTCTTCTGCCGGCAGTAAACTCGATCCATTCATGGTAGAGGGACGAGGAGGAGTAAGAGGAGGAGGAAGAAGAAGTAGAAGAACCGGTGGTTCTCTTCAAATTGCAATCGTGCGAAGGAGACGGAAACAAGAATGAGGTTGGAGGAGTGGGGGTGAAAGTAGGAGTAGGAGTAGAAGTAGGAGTAGTAGGAGGAGGACGAGGAAGAATAGGAGCAAGAGTAAGAGTAGGAATAGAAGTAGGAGGAGGAGGAGGAGAAGGAGGAGGAGGAGGAGAAGGAGGAGGAGGAGAAGGAGGAGGAGGAGGACGATGAGGAGACGTCGCGAGAGGCGAGGGGACAAGAGAGTGAGAAAACATGAGCGAGGATTGGAAAGAGGGACGACAGAGGCGTTTCGTCAGAAGGATTTCGGAGGTTTAGGTCGGACGAGAGGAGATCACGAGACTTCCGTGTTCTTCTACCCTTCTCGAGACTGTAAGCTTGTCTCGGGACATGCCCCGAGTTACAGCAAAGTCTACCGGCCTATTTTTAACCCGCCTCGTTTGATAACACTGCCACTCCCCGGACTTGCGCCATAGACTTTCAAATGTACTATTATCAGCGAAGTTAACCAACCCCTTTCGCGAAAACAGTTCCCTCCAAACAGGCTCCTGGAACCGTCTCACGCATTTTCCGGTCTGATTTAGGTAGGAAGTATGCATAGTCGCTCCTAAATCTTCTATATAGGCCCACTCTGCGCCGTTTTCACGCCGTAAATTCGCTATAACCTTGCCTATCCCGCCAACATTCGAGCTTTCCTTACTCTTCCTGTATTACTTTCGGTTTCCCTTCGCTCTCTCCAATATCTTTCATGCTCGTCTCCAACGAAGTCCTCGGGTACAGAGGAACGTTCAACGCTAGGTTTTGCGGCACTCGTCAAAACGACCGGCCCACAATTTTTTTAACACGTCGAGTGCCGCGTCGGTCACATACAGATTTTCAAATTCATTTCTATGCCGTCATATTCGAGCGAACTGAATGTTGTTGAGATTTTTAGGACGCGACAGTCAACTATTTGGTTACAGTTTTATCAATTAATACACGAACGGCGAACCTTTTCGACAAAAATATAACCGAGTCTTTATCATTTATA